CTTTCCCATTCCTGATACTGAAGATGTATATCCTGTAGCAGAGCTTTTACTGAAAAAACAAACCAATCAAAACAAAACCAAATTGCTTGTTACAGAAAAATGTTGTTCTCAATTTTATCATCCTGCTGTTTAATAATACTGTAGGATATTTCTGAGTTTATATGAAAAAAATAAATGACAAAGTTATGCTGAAATTTCTTTAAGAAATGTATGAACTGAGATTTAGCAGTTCATACAGAAAAATATTTTACATATATGATAAAAGGTTACGTATATTAACTTAAAAGAAATTCATAACAACTTGTAGGCCTCAGCATGCCTTAAAATGGTATTTCTTCCCTCAGTTCAAAACTGCACACCTTAATTAAACAGAAAACTGAACATTTAGGTCACAATTCAGTAAGCACATTATTACTTTCATAGATTCATGTGCATATAATTTCATAATAGTTGTCTATTAGGTAAGCAGGTGCCTACGAGGTATGCAATGAAGATAATAAATATACTTAGGACACTTGTCTATGTTGCTGTATTTTGGATGTAGTGCTTGAGTACTGAAAGACTGGCTTCGAACCAACTTGGATTTCTTGTCTTCTTTGCCTAAAATTATAAGGAGTGAAAATTTTTAACATGGATATCATTGCATTTCCTCAGTAATTAAGAAGACTTTTTAATACATTTTTTGTCAACCTATGCTAGCTGAAGGAGCTGATTTAAATACTTCAGTAAGTTTTATTCATGTCACCTATTTATATACTAAAAAATAAAATAAAACTAAAAATCACAGAAAACACATTCAGTTCAAGGAGCGGAATCTTTTCCTATGTGCAGTAGGTAAAGCTTTGGCCCACAAATGCCAACAGCAGCTTTGCTGGGTTTTAACTTGCTGATGTCAAATCAAAGTATTCTAGAAGAGTTTTTAAAGAGTTTTTACCTGCTGATGTACCAGAAGAACTTCCAGGAACAGAGAGAGTGACACTTTTTGCCAACACTGATGATGTTTTACTGTCTCTACCTAAAAAAAAGTCTAGTATAAATACTTCTCTCTTAAAGCTTAACTTTAAATAAAGAAAGAGTACATAACATATTATGGAGTAAACAGTAATAATATCTAACCCAGTGCCACTAACACTTCAGAAATACCACAGACAAGTACTTACATTATATTCCAAAATGAAAAGTACCAGAGAACTGAAACTGTCACGTACTTTATCAAAGCCAAAAGTTTTCCTTCTAATATGAGACCAGTTTTCATAAATATCTTTAGAAACACACAGAAAAAAAGTTTTATTGCCACTTTCTAAACCTCTGCTATTTATTATATAAAGTGTCTCTTTCTGCTTCCTTCTCTTCTATCTTTGTAGAAGAATAATGCATGCACAAACAACATGTACACAAATAAACAAACTTACGCTTCTTTTCAAACATTTTATCATTAATATTTGCAGTTCTTCCTTCATTTTGCTGCTTCTCTTTTTCTAATTGCTCCTAAAAAAATGAATAATTTTCTCAGGCATTACTCAGAAAAAAAAAAAGAAATAACTTGTTTTAACTAGAGATTGCTTCCAAATCACAAAAACAGTTAATTTCTACTCTCTCCTACTATTAGTACAACCTCTAGTGAATATCCAGAGAACCAATAGCAAAGAATGAATCAATGTACTTCTCCTATATAAAAATCACTCCAAAAAATGTTGACTTTAATTATGATGGAACCTCAGAGTTGAGGTTTGCATTTGTAACTTATAAGTAAAATTATGCCTAACATTTTTTTTTAATTAAAAAGATACAGAAATTGGCAGCTGACAATGTAAAATTTTTGTGCTACACAGATACTTTGATAATGGAACTGGCAATATATTTAATACAAACATACAATTCAATTAATTTTTTTTTCTTAAGCAGTCAGGTATGCCACATAGGCTAAAACTTTTTAAAGGTCTAAAACTAACATCTACAGTTCATAAGCCTTTATGCAAAACAAAATCAAGTATTACAATTCTTCAAGTTTAAGGAATTTATTTGCCTTTCTGTAACATTAGCTAGCCTTAGAATACCTTTAGAGGGCACATCCATAGACAGAAAACAGTGTTAACACAGCTACATCAATAATTTCAAATGCCAATACTTGCTTCAGGATTCTTGATGAACAGATATCACTTCAACTTCAACAAGATATATAACATTAGCTTATTTTCTGTTCTATGTTCATAATAAAAAGTGCTAAATGAACTGTAATTGTTCTACTCTATTTTTTCTATTTCACTCTAATTACTACCCAAGTCAAAAAGAAAAAAAAAAAAAGAGGTAATTAATTCAGGTCAAGGTTGCTAAAATATAGTTTCTACTAAATCAACTACTAAAATTAATGAAACTTATTAACATCTTTAATATTAAAATCTGTATCAGTCAGATATATTTAACTGGGTTCAATGGTTCCTCATCTATTTGCGACTACAACATGTTACAATTTACTGTGTACATCTCCAGTCCCTCAAAACCATGCCTCTCTCAGAAAATGCTTAGTGATACCTTTGTGATACAGAAGGTATGTCTATATCAATGGGATATATCATAGAAATACAGGTCCTTTTCTAAAGTCTAGCTGTAGAAATAGGGTAAAAAATAATGTTATCATACAATATGCGATAACACAGAGAGCAACTGAGCCTATTTTATCACAGCCCCAAACATTTCCACTATAAAAACATTAATTGTATCTATCTAAAAACCGCTAAAGCTAAGTTGAAGTCTTTGCATATGTGTATGCAGGTCCTGAGAAAAAAGCTTGAACCTTTGGCTCAAGCTAATGGGAGGTGGCAGGAAGTACAAGAGACAGGTATGAACTGAGAAAATCAACTGTCCAAGAGGTCTGCAGTACCTATTGACATCAAAGTGGGCCACAAATGTAGGCTCTGTAGCAATCCCAAAGAGGAAAAAGTGACATTTTTTAGACAGTCTTGAATCTGTTCTGGTTCACTACACAGGATTTCAATACCAAAAATCAGAGGAATCATGTTAATGAAATTCGGCCTCTTCTACTTCCTATCAGTTTCTTAGCTTCTCCCACATCATGATGAAGAAGAGGCAGCAGAACGGAGGACTGCACTAATCTAATCTAGGCTTTGCGGAGATGTAGTAGGCTATATGGTGAAGTGCCTGCTGCAGCTTTTGCTTACAGCCATAAGTGAAGATAAATAGTTTTAAAAATTGGAAAAGCATTCTGCAGACTTCTCTTCCAAATCCTAAGTAACTTGTAGCAACTTTTGCTCTATACAACCTGCACTGTCTCCCTCCTGCCAGGCTGCAGACGGCAATGGCCTGTCTTCCTTTTTTTTTTTTTTTTTTCTGGCTAGCAGGAAAGCTTGTAACACAGAGAACCTCCTTCAGCTTCCTTGACATAAAAGAAGTTAAGACATTAATTTCTTTGCCTATGGAAGCTCTATTTGAATTCTAAGGTGTTTCATTATTCAATTGATTATGTTATACACACCTGACAAATTACTAAGCACCCTCAAAAAGATTTCAGAAAGGTATGTTGAAGGGCTTGGGATTTTAGAACTATAGAGGCATCAAGTATGAGTGTTTTTCAAGAAATTTCAGTTTGTCTTTCTAATTGATACAGCAAAATTTAAGTAGTAAAGAAAAGGAAGTTATATGTTTCTTTGAAGGATTTAACCCTATTGTAAAGTGTAAAATGAAACCATATGAAGAGTA